CTATTCGCTAGAAACAACATTAATATGAAGTGTAAACGATTTTCATGAATGTCATCTTTTCTTTCCGCTTTTTTTTTTGTTTTCATTGGAATGTTTGCTAATTTAACTTAATTGCATCGAATTGCATCTTTCCTTCCATTCACATTTCTTTTTCAGCTTCGTTGCTAAGTGCTAAAATTTTTTTTTTCTTTGCTTCATTATCGATATTATTGCAGCAATTAACAATATTTCTCTCATTAGATAGATTTTTATTAGATTTTATAAAAATAATTTTGAAAATTTTTATTGAAAATTCTACAAGTTTTATTTTTTAACATTTTAACATTCTTCTTTATCACTAATTTTATAATATTTCTCTCATTAGATAGATTTTTATTAGATTTTATAAAAATAATTTTGAAAATTTTTATTGAAAATTCTACAAGTTTTATTTTTTAACATTTTAACATTCTTCTTTATCACTAATTTTATAATATTTTAGATTATTAGTAGCTTAAAATTCGCTTCTTTGCTGAATTCACTTCTTTAATTTATCGTTCATCTATACTTCCTTTCAATGCGAATATATTTGATTTCCGTTTGATGGTTCAGTGCTAAAATAATTTATCGATAGATATTTACTATTTATTGAAAGAATTTCTATCTAATCGCATCTGATTATTTCGATAAAATCTTAAATGAATATCTATTTAGATTTATTAAAATTTTTATTATAAAAATTAGAGAATTTTATTGATAAAATTTATCATATCAGTTCTTTTGCGAAATTCATCCAATTAGTTTTTCTCTATAGACTTATATAAAAGTATAAAATAAAAAGTGTTCAATCTTTTTGGCTTTATTTGCTCGAGTGATTAGGAATTGCCTTGAGCGCATATAGTATAATTGAATAAAAGAGTGAAAAAAGATAGATAAAAAAACTTTTATTTATTTTATCTATTTTTTTAATAAAATAGAAAGAGAAAAATATAAAAGTGGCAAGAATAAATGATCTTATTTTTGTAGAATTAGTGCATTAATTTGTGGTTCAATGGAAGCAATTTTAATTCTCAGTTCAGAATTCTCAGATTTACGATAGGCCGAATGCGGCCCGTAATCGCTGGTTGAGTAGCAATAGTTTAATATTTTATTTTAATATTTTAGCATTATTTTTTTCGCTAATAATAATAAAATAGTTTAACATTTAAAATTTAAATTTATTGAAGAAAAATTAAAAATTTTTGGTTTCCTTTGAATGAAAAATTTTTTAATTTTTGCATTTTTTTCTTTTTTACTAAAACGGAAAATCGACCAATTTTTAGAAAATTCTTTTTTGAAATTTTATAAGACATGAATTTTATTTATTCATTACTTATGACCTATAGTTTTTTTTCAAATGTAGTTTTTTTGATAAAACGACAAATAATACTTCTTAAAATAATAAATACTAATAAAAATAATATGTATAAATGATATAAATATTTTTTTCCTAATACTGATTATATGATTTAGCGATAAAAGCATAGGTGAATCAATGTCACCCTGATATTTGGAACAGATTTACCGCTTTCAGTGTCACTAATTGAACAGCAATGTTCTGAACCATTCCAATCACTTTGGAGTTCAGCGACAATATCGCCTGATAAAGCATGATGCGAATTCGAATTCGAATCAAGGACTGATCACAATCGAATGATTCGAATTGTTATCGATTCTCGATGGTCATCTTGCCACATTAAAGCCATCAAGAAATTAATTTAATGACAAATTTCTTTTTTTATAATATAACAATTTTTATTTATAGTTTTTTAATTTTGATTTTATTTTTACAAATATCGGTGTGAACTTTTAAAACTTTTAATTTACAACTAATGATTTGTGTTTTACGACTTATTATTTCTTTATGAAAAGTGAACATTTTCAATTTTTCCAAGGTCGATATAGATACTAATAATTTCTTGCCTACCAGGCTCATATTCAAGATTTTACTGTGCTTAAATTGTATGCTAATATTTTTTTGAAAAGAGTCCACCATTACTGGTTAAACTCGCTTCACTGGCTTGCCACATTAAGCAATATGCCAAGGAGTCCCTTGGCGATAGAAATATAGGTGAATCACCAGCATCACCCGGATTTTTGTGCAGGTTTACTTCTGCGGGGAATCGAACTTTAGTATCGACACTCCCAATCGAGCAAAAACCCGTTGAGCCATTCTATCCCTATACTAATATTTATACAATATAATAATTACAATATTTATACAATATAACAATTACAATATCTTTTAATATATTTTTTTCTTTTGCTGGCATCACCATTCTTTATTTGGCTAGCCAATTTCGCCAGAGAATCCTTCTTTGTGTCAAGTTAAGACGAAGTTAAGACTATAACAATTCTTCTAAAGCCTTATAATAGCAATTTTTGTTCGTAATAAATTTATTTATTCAATTACTCATTCATCAAATAAAATTTTTAAGGATTTTTTTTATTTTATGAATTGATAGATATTTCCTTTAATTTAATTGATATAATTTAAATGAAATGATTTTAGAATGTTTCGAATTTATTTTTCTCAAAATTTTCAATCTATCAATTGGAAATTTAAAATTTAAATTGAAATTTAAATTTGTAAATTAATAATAAATTAATAAAAAATTTCAGATAAAATATTAGATTTAATAATAATTTTTAAAGTTACCCCTTACGATCCGTCGATTTTATTTTGTATTTTCAAATTTTTATTGAAAATCGCGCTCGCCTAAAATATATATATGTATATATTTTTTTCATTAATTTGATTATTAATTTTTAGGTATTTAAAATCCGTAATGAATTTGATTTCTTCATAAAATAGAACGATGGACGACGAAGAAGTGTTCAATTTGCAGATTTTTATTCCCGAACTTAATTTACAGGTTATTTCATTGTTTTCTATTTCATTGTTGTTTTTTCTTGAAATTTTCCATCTTAGAAATTCTTCCCATCTTAGAAAATATTGCCGAATTTCACGAAAAGCATTGATTTTCTATTTTTAAATTTTAATGAATAATAAATAAATTATTTGCAACGAAAATATAAATAATGATTTGATAATATGATGCGTTAAATTATTCTTGATCTTCATCATTATAAAATTAAATTTTAATTAGTAAAATTCATTCATCGAAAATTTTTTATTTGTTTTTTTTTTCTTAATGCACGAGTGACCTAAAATCTTATAAAATTTTGATTGAAATTCTCCAATAAATTTTGCTATTTTTTATTTCTTATACGCATATTTTGTTGTTTTTTTTTCTCCATTCTTTGAAATTAATTAATATTAATTTAATTTAATTAGATAATTTAATTTAGGTGGATGTGTTTAAAAATATGAAAAATTGAGATGAATTGGTTTGATTTTGTGATAAAATGGATTTTAAAAATTTTCCCTTTTTTTATGGACTTTCATAATTTTATGGGAAAAAATAAGATTTGATCATCGTGTCATTTTACCTTAAATTTACCCTCCTCTCTCTCTCTCTCTTCTCAATTTTTGCTCATCTTCCGATCCTCTATTTTCCATTAAAAATTTTTCCTCTCTTTGATAGGATCGATGAAATTTATCAATATCTTATCTTATCTTTATTGTTATCATTATTCTATATATTTATTATTTCATTAAACAATGAAAAAATAGTTGTGATCGATTTTTTCTTATAATTTTCGTATAATATAATATAATATGAAATTTTAAAAGTCATTATGATTAGCGACCTTTCATTTTCTAGATTTAACTGATTTCGCCTGTATTTCGAAATTTCAAATTATCTCATAATTTTTATCACTTATCAAATATCACCTTAATCTTTTTTGAAACATATCGCCATTTCTTATGCAATTTTTCTTTCATTCATTTTCTCAATTATGATTGTAAAGTAGTTTTCAAACCAATTTTAAAACCGTGGCTGAGATTCATTTAAGATTTGATATTAACTGAATTAAATTTAAAATTTATGGCATTGTTATTCTTATCCATTTGCATAACTTTGAATTATTTCAATATGCTGAATTTTTTAATTATTTAATTTTTAAAGCGATTTATAGGGGCCTTTATAAGGGCAAATTTTGAACTAATTTTTTTCCAAAGAATTACCAAATATTTAAATATTTTCAGAAATTTCTAACATGCCAGCTCGGTGAAATCGTCTGGGACATTAAGGGGAAGCTTTTGGCCACTCTTCAAGAGGTTTGCATATTTGTAAATTTACTTCTTGTAATAACATTAATTTTCAATATTAATAAAATGTTACATCGAAATTTTCCCCAAAGTTTTTTTGCCTTCTTCGATGTTTAGTTTTACATCGTCAAAATATTCCATTTTTCCGATTTTTCTCATTTTTCCTTTTGCCCATCTCTAATCCTCCTTCGCCTTTCCTATTATTTACTACATTATTTTTTTGCTCCTTTCTCCTGGAATTTTTATAAATCCCTTTTCATTATTTTTGCTTATTTACTTTTGCAATTATTTCCAATTTTTTACATTTTATGCATGATCAGTTCGATCGCTCAACCGATATTCCAACTTATATTTTCTTTAGATTTCAATTCTTTTTTTCAATTAATACATTTATTCCATTAGAATTTTTTTTTATAAGAATCCCAACCATTTCTGGTTGCTGCACTGGTTTGACGTGCTAATCAAGGTAGTCACTTGGCAATAGAAATATAGGTTCGCCTGAAAGAATTTTTGAAAGAAGGTTTGCACATCACCATTAGAACTCTGGAATGATAACAACAACTCACTGAGTCATTCTATTCATGCAAAATATTACCATTTTTTTTATATGAAATTTCCATCAATTTTAGCAAAAATTTATTATTTTTGATAAATGCTCTTAAATTCTTTTTTGAAAATTGAAAATTTTTTATAATAATATATTTCTTTCTTTTAGTTTTTTTGCATTTGATTTCAAAAATTATCACCAATTATTTATCAATTTATTATTATTATTGGAAGAAGATCGAACACATATTGTGAACGAATGCAAAAACTTTTGAAGGGCACGCATAATGTATGGTGTCCTTGGTGAAAATAATACTCGCCAATCGATCTATTCTATATAATATTCTAAAATCAACTATAGAAATCCCCTCTCTCCTCTTATTCTCACCATTTCTAAATAGAAAATAGAAAATAGAAAAAATAACGATTAATGATTAACGAAGCATTAAAGCATTGATGCGATTATTAAACCGATAATAAAAAGCATTTCACTTCTTAAATTTTAATTTTTTTAACAAAAAAATAGTTATTTTCTTTTTTTCTAAAAAAAAGCACTCATCGTTAAACTGCTTATATGCTTTATACTGGCTTGTTTGATCGGAAAAATTCTGCCAGAGGGCTATTTAGCGATAGAAATACAGATTAAGGGACCAGCATCACTCGAGTTCTTGAACCATAGTTTATTAGTGCTATTGTCATCACTTCTGGCTAAATTTGTGAAAAATCCCCAAATCCCCAATCGTAAGATTATAAATCTAAATTGATAGTATCGTAAATAAAATCGCTTCCATTAAAATTTTATATTAATAATTAGAAATGGAAGATGATCGTTAAAGGAACCAAAAAAAATCCTTAAATTATTCGGATTTTAATTAATTATGGATAACTAATGGAAAAATTTGTGATTGTTTTTATTTAAACCGGTAATTATAATAACGGAAATGGAAATTCGTTTCAGCCTCTTCCGCTTTCATTTAATTATGGCTTATTTTTGCCACCATGCGATGGACGCGCTGGAAAGTTTCTTCTCGAAGATCGTCCTATTCGTGATTATCCATTTCATGATTGCGTACCATACCTCGAAGTTTTCATTTCTTACATTTTTGATAAAAAAAAAGTTTTTTTATCATTTTATCATTACAATTCAATTTATTATTGTATATATAGAACGTCCGAAATTCGAAAATAATTTTCAAAATTAAAAAAATGTTAGCAAAAAATATATCTAAATTTTTGATAATATGGTTTTCTAAATTTTTTTCTTAATATTTTTATTGCGAAAATTGTGGAACATTTTTTTGTTTTAATTTTATTATTTATTTATTTGTCATATTCTGAAAATAATTTCAGTTCAAATACAAAAAGCGGGTTTATAAAATGTTGAAAATGGACGATAAACAACTACGATTAATTCATTCAAAGGTCATTCATTTTAGAATCTTTTTATAATTTATTATTTTTATTATTTTTAATTTTACTTTTTCAACTCGTTTTTTATCTAATTTACAGTAGTAATGAAGTTCGTAGGGATTGCTTAAAAAGTTAAAAAATAATTAACCATATTAGTATAAATTTTTATTCATTTTTCCTATTGTCTCTTAACTGGGGATAGAATGGCTCAGTGGGTTATTGCTCAAGTGGAAGTGCCGGTGCTGAGGTTCGATTTTCCCTGAGAATAAACTTGCAAAAAAATCCGGGTGATTCTGGCGACTCACCTGTATTTCTATCGCCAAAGGACTCCTTAGCATATTGCCCAATGCGACAAGCCAATGGAGCGAGTTTAACCAATAATGGTGAGGACTCTTTAAAAAAAAAAAATTGACATTTGGGATGCCAACATCACCAGGATTTTTTAAAATTTTTTAAAACTTGCTTCCACCGAAATATCCCAACATTGGCGCTCCGAAATGAGAGTAGCTACTCGCTGAACCATCCTCCTCTCTATAGCCTCAAGTATTTTAAATGTTCAAAAATTTTAAAAGTTGAACAAATATTGAATCATCAAAATATATTTGAGAATTTTTTTTTAATTTTATTTTGTTTGACAAACTTTTGCATTAATCTGAGGTACCAACAATAATGATTTTTTGCAGTCAAACTTAAAGAAATTCATGGATTATGTGCAATCAAAGAATGCGGAAAAAGTAGAAAAAATGTGTACAGCTGGCTTGGATCCGAATTTTCATGGTGCGCATGGTGAGACGCCATTAACTTTAGCTTGCGGCATACATGATAATCGTGCAGTGATTCTTGCATTAGTCGGTGGCGGTGCGCATATTGATTTCAGAAACAGTGAAGGCCAGGTAATACTCTATTATTTTTTGGTGGATTTTTTTTATGAAAAATTAATCTTCGAAATAAATCTCTTGTATTTTAAAGCTTTTACTTTAAAGCGATTTTAAATGCCTAAAAAATTTATTTTTATATTCATAATGAAGAATTAATTGAGTTCATAATTGTTGTTGAAGACTGCGATACATAAGGCATCATTCATGTCATCGGTTGCGAATGTTCAAACTCTTCTGGAACTCGGCGCATCACCCAATTACAAAGATCCACTTGGCCTAACTCCACTTTATTACAACATGTTGACAACTGATTCCAAGTCGGATGTCACTGAAATGCTTTTAAAAGATGCAGCTGATCTTTCAATTGTTGATATGCATGGAAATTACGAGCTACATCAGGCAAGCTTCTCCTATACTTAATATTAGTCCTTTTTTCACTCCCTGGAGGAGGCATTTTCAACCTTGGGCACTACTAGAGGGATTCTTGAAAGGATTCTACCGAGTTTATAGGCTATTCCTCGCAGTGCGCTTTTCTGAACATAAATCTTTGATGTTCTTCCATGTATCTGTTAAAGCCACTTTTTTAGTTTATGGGTTATAACCACCCCCCCCCCCCCCCCATAGTGCCAGTCTTTCTGTTTATAAAGACCAAACAATGGTCTTTATATGAAGACATCATTGCAGGTTTGACTTCATAGTTTGTTTTCTATTTCGAAATATATGAAATATCATTCTGCTTGATTAAGAAGATACTTTTAATGTGGTGTATTTTTATAATAATAATAAATAATTTATTATTCTCATTATTAATATTTTGGATAAGATTGAATGAAAAGGAAATTTAAAGAAAGAACAAGATTTGTCATTTATAAATTTTATTCCAGTTTTAAACATTTTCATTTTATTTTATTCGATGATTTTGTTAAAATAATCATTAGAAAAGGATTTTAAGGATTATTCCTTTCTTTGATTCACCTCAATTTTCTACCTTTTAAATTTCGCATTATTTCTTAAAAATTGATGCAGATTAAAATCCCTAAGGGAAGAAATAGAATTGGCTTAGATGAGTTGTTACTTTCATTTTTGCTACGCAAATGCAAGGGTTCTATTCTAAACAGAAATAAAAATTTATCTTTCAAAAATTCAAGTGATAATTAGCGACACGTATATTTTTTATCATTTATATTTTATATTTATCCTATCTTCCTAACAAAATTCGTTTGGCCGAAGCCAGTGGATGGAGCCTAATCAAAAATGGCAAAAAAAATCATCAGAGACAAAAAATTAGCGTAGGGTGGTTTATTGTTTCGACTAAATTTAGCCATAATTCGATTTTTATCCAATAATGAGAATATAATTATCATTGATTACGATATTCAAGTGGCGCTAGAAATTCGTCCTATACCTATACTACTCTTTCCAGTTATCTTATCCTAATAGCTAAACCAGGCTTCCGTTCTTATACAAAATCGTAGATTTTTTTCTCTGAAATTGAAAACTGAAATTTTTCTTTTTTTTTGTTTTTTTCTTGAAGTTTTTATCAGTCTTGTTAGTCTTAATTTTTTCCTCCATAATTTTTTCAAGAAACAAAAGCAATTATTAATGTGACAATTGCACGCAGTTGATTTACAAAAAATTCGGCGAATTTCAATTCAAATGGTTCTTCTATGGTTTTTTTAAATATCTATTCATTACTTTTGCAAAACCATAGCCATTTCTATATCAGTTTTCTTCGTTTCATTCCTTTTAATTCCTTTAACATTTTTCCAAATACAATAATCATATAAATCTTTAATATTTTTTTGATAATGCAATGATAAGCAAAAAACTTTGGTGCATTTCTCAAATTTTAGTGGTATTTTATTTAAAAGCATTTTTATTAATAAGTGTATTTGTAAGAATTCTGAATTACTACTCCTTTTCTTTTAAAGTTATTAAATTATTGGAATTATTGAAATCCTTATTTTCTATTGCTTGCAAAAGAAAAAAAAAGAAGAAAACTAGTTTCTGAAGCCGTTGATATTAGCCTTTGATGTTGGCCTTATTCTTATAATTCAATCTATGGTTTCGTCTATTATAAGGAAGATTTATGCAACCATTACTTTCATCTTTATGCGATTTTGGACCAATTTTTAATGTTGCTTGATAAGAAGATAGACAAAGTAGATAGATAATCAAATATTTTCAAGATAGTACCAACAGAAATTTTATTTATTTTATTAATCATGCGGTTTTATAGCGTTCTTTATTATTTTGCTTTATTGCTATTTTTCATTAGTAAATTATGAAAATTTTTCTTATTATAGGTGATAATTTATTTTATTACTGTAGAGAAGATTAATAATAATTTGTATGGATGGTTTTGTGATTGAATTTATTTATTTTGCCTAAAGGAATAAATTTTATTGGGAGTATTTTAGAAAACTGCTAGAAAATAGGGGATAAACTGAAAAACCTGTTTCACTTAATCATTTGATCGTTGAAGGTCTATTTTAAGAGTAGTAATTGTTAATGCGTTTAAATGCTTCGTTTTGTTAATCATTTTTCGCCAAATATAAAGATTTTCTTCTCGATATCCTCCTTTCGAAATTATAATCCGACTCGATTTTTTGTCTAAAATATAAATAAAATAAATAAATATAAATAAAATATTAAAATATTATGCAATATTTTGGTTATATTTTAAAATATTTAAATATATAAATTATTTAATTTAAAATATAAAATACTTAATTTCATCTTTTTTTGGCATAATTTTTTCGAACAATTTTTATTTCATTTTGTTTATGCCATGCGTGAAAATTTGGAATTGACGCTTATCACTTATCATATATCATTTCATCTTTTCATCGTCTAATCGCATATCTCATTTAGAATAAAAAGTAATGAACGTATATTGATCAGTTCTGATCTAATTTTTTGAGTGTTTTGAAAAAATTTCCTATAGCCTAGAAACAAATTGGCCTGGAAAATTTTTTATTTTAAAAAATGCAGTAGCGATTTTTGTCGTTCGTTTCAAAGAAGTTTTAAAATTTTTTTTCTGATCAATCCACATAATGAAAGCCAATTATGGAAGCAATAAAATTTAACGAGGTCAAGGTATTTATCCAAAATCAAAATCGTTCTTAGGATTTTGCATATTTCGCCGATTTTTCCCTTTTCCTTCAAAACGATGAGTACGATTAAAATAAATCGTGTAAATTTTATACTGTTATATTTATATTTTCGATATTTAATATTTCATTGGCTTATCTTCTTCCTTTATAAATCTCATATAAGTTTTTTCTTTTTTTGTATAAATTAAGGTCATTTACCTTAATTTTTATTCAACATTAATCTTCAATTGTCTTAATTTTTGAATATAAGAATGAATATAAATAAATAAAATCAATAAATAATAAATAATATAAATTATTTTTTATAAGTGAAATTTTTATTTTAATTTATTTAAAAAATATAATTTAAATATTTTGATTATTATGATTTTTTACTATAATTTATAAAATTTTAGAATATTAATTTATTTAATTTCGAATATTAATTTCTAATTTTAATTTTAGGCCTGTAAGAACGGTCTTATGCATCACGTTGAACATTTACTTTACTATGGCGCCGATATAAACGCTCAAAATATTAACGGCAATACTCCTTTGCATGTTTGTGCAGTTAATAGTAGGTCAGTGGAAAAAAAAAAGAAAAAAATTTGCATTTATTAATCGTTCATTTCCTATCCTATCGTAAGAATATTTGATTTGCTAAATTTGAATTTGAACTGTTCAATTAGAAGTTTATTTTTAAGGTCAGATTGCGCTCGAGTTCTACTTTTTCGCGGGTGTGATCCGACGATTGTAAATAAACAAGGTCAAACGGCTTTACACGTTGCAAGAATTGTTGGAAATATGGGAGTTGCAGAAATGATACAAGAACATAATCCGGCTAATGCAGGTATAGTTAGTTAGTTTAGGCCTAAAATTAGTGAATTATTATTGGTTAATCATTCATAACATAGAGAAATTTATAAAAATTTAGTGCCATATCGTGGTATGCCAGCATATAATACTAAACGTCGTTTACCTGCCACTATAGTACGACGTCGATCGATGAGCCAAAATTCTATCTATAGCTCAACATCCGAATATCGTACACCAACGCCTTATGTAATGTCACAGCAGGTCGGTCTCTTTAAAAATCACTTATTTTTTAGCGGTCTCAAAAATTTTTTTATAGTTTTATTTCTTATCACCAAAAAAAGAAGATGTCAATTTTATTAGTTTATCAATTAATAGGTTGAATTAAGTTTTAAGTGGTGAGCGCTATGCTTAGGACCGTTGGTTTCATTGTCTTTTAGTGGAATAAAACAATTTTGACAGAGAGTTACATGGATAATTGATGAGAATATGAGTGAGTGAATCGTAGCACCAATGACAAATTGTTAAAGGCGATAGCCGAATCATGATATTCGCCATTACGGGTTAGGTTTTCTCTATATTGGCTTCTCGAGCTAAGCAAATAAATATGCCATGGAGTCTTTTGGCGATAGAAATACCGGTAACTCGCCAATATCACCCGGATTTTTGGACAGATTTGTTCTTGCCGGGAACTAAACTTCAGCATCAACACTACGAGTTTAACTCATTGAGCCATTCTATTCTCCATTTCTTCTCCGTTAGATGATTCTGCTACTGGACGATGATGGTGCGAATTCGAATCCAAGGCCTTGGTTCTCGGGAGCAGTTACTTTACCATTCAGCCACCGAATTATTTTCTTTTTCGATTTTTATGATTTTTTTTTAAATTAGCAAATAGAGAAGAAGAAGAGTTGAATGAAGAAGTTTGATTCAGAAAAAGTATAGTTTATTTATTTGCCTTTAAAACTCTTCACAGAATGCTTTGTATTTGCTCACTTATTGATGAAAAATCTACTTTTGGATTTGCTCTTCACTCATTCGTACTTCGTACTATGTCTTTTCTAATGCTTAATAATTTTATTGTGGCTAAAATTAACTGAAGAGGGTTGGATAACCGAGTGGATAGGAACGAAACTCAATATTATATTGAGAGAAATTGTTTCGATTGCTATTTCCGTTATGATTGAACCTATTATTAAAAAAGTCGGTCGCTTTCTAATGAGGTTCATTTGTAATTCTATCGTCAAATGACTCTCTGGTGAAAATCTCCAAAAACCATTAGCAAATAGCGAAATGAATCTAATAAAAACTCATAAACCACTTACTTTAGGGCTAAAGTGGTACTTAACATTTTAATTGATTGCTCATTTATTTTTCAGGCTATGCTGCCAAGTCCAACACCAAGTCGTGCTACTCTAGCTGAAGTACCAATAACACAAGGTTTAAATGATTATGATACGATTCGACGATATTCGAAATTCACTGCTATGGACGAATCAGAGTGAGATAATTATTTCATATCATAATAAGTTTTCTGCCATCATAATGAGATTCTCAATAAATTATTGTTTTCCAGCCAGATTTCAAGAATCTCATTTTTCATTCGCCAAAAGAGAATTTATTCGAGGGTGGATTGAAATTAGTTATTTGTTTCTTTTTTTCTCACCGATTAGGCTCCATTCGCCTGTCGAGCCAGGCAAATTTTGAAGTAGAAATATAGGTATCACCCGGCATCTGGATTTTTTAAAGATAAGTTTATTCCTGCCAACAGTAGTGGAACTCTTCTTCCGTCGAATATTGCCAATAATATATCATATAAAATAAATTATATAAATCCATAATTATTTTTAATAAATTATTTTTAATAATTTTTAGTAAATATTTATTTTAAATAAATATTGATTTATTAATTTATATTAATTTATGCAAAATTTTTTAATTAATGAATTGAGTTTTATGTGGAAATTTATAGATTGAATATACCTCGAATTCTCGTCATACCTCGCGGACCTAAAGGATTTGGATTCATCATTCGCGGAGCTAAACGTTTGTTTCCTTTTCTCTTTGGTTCATTAATTCAATCAACCGTACTAAGATAAAAGAAATTAAATTAGTTCCATTAATTCAATAAGTATTAAGGGTTTTAAAATTGAGATTAACCTATCTTCGCTAATAAAAAATAATATATTATTTATTAGTTCTTTTGCTTTAGGTGCAGATGCAAATAATTTCGTGCCGAACAATTTAATGCCAGCTCTTCAATTTTTTGAAGGCGTAGATATGTCAGGAATGGCAATTAAGGCCGGTTTACGCCCTGGCGATTTTCTTCTTCAAATAAATGGTGTTGATGTGCGAACAGCTTCACATGATGAAGTGGTACGATTAATTCAAGCATCAGGCGATACAATTACGCTCAAGGTTATTAGTCACTTTTAATTGGTTTCTTTATAATATAATATATAATAATTATTCGTAAAGATTTTTTATCTATAGGATTAATGAAAGGATTGAATTTTGAAAAAAAAAAAAATTCATAAAAAAACTGGTTTTGATAAAATTTTAATAAAAAATTTAGTAGAAATAATAGTTAATGATTTAGGTGATTACGATTGATCCTCAACGCAATTCCAATATTTATGGAACTACTGTTGCATCTCGAAACAGTGGTTAGTGGTTGATTAATATTCTTAAAATTGGATTGGATAATGTGTTGATAAAAAATCACCAACGGCTCTTCATTTACAAATTTGAATTTAATGAAGACCTCTAGAAATAAAGCCCTATTTCTTCAAATATACTGATATTTAAGCTTAATATTAGGATAATATCCAGAATATCCATATTTAACGTTTCATCGTCTTATTTAAAGTTATAAACTATTGACTATAGCGCTGTGTGCATTTTTTTAGAGTCTTTTCTTATCTGTTTACTTGAAAAAAATATGATCTGTAATAGTTGAGCATTAGGTTCATTGGTCCTTGGTGTGGATTCTTTGAACAAAGTAGGCTTATCACTATAATTAATTCTTCATAATTTCTGGCGAAAGATTTCTATCTCAGTGATAAGTGAAGCACGCGAAACTAGAAATGGTGAATGTTGTTGAAAGAAAGAAAATGCCTGGTCATTCCGAAATTATTCTTCTGAAAAGCAGAAATTATATTTGAAATATAGACTGAGGAAAATTTCATGGTCTCCTATTCTCGTATGAATCGTTAGAGCCTAAAGATGCATGATTTAGCTGCGAATTTACCGCCAATATCTCCTTTGCGACATACATGTGCAACTCTTGGCCATGGAACTCGGTTTCTGAATCGAACTTTTCAAAATCAGTTTTCGGGTATATTGTGATTTATTGATCGCTTGCTAACCTATTTAACCTTTCTTACACTTTCTTTCCAAAAATGGATTTCCCTTTAAATCAACCTGTTTAAACATTCTCTTCTATTTAAATTTTGCATGGTACCAAATTTTTGATTATTTTAAAATTTCTCGTTTTTTTCTTGAAGGGATTTTTTGCATTCAACTTATATATTTCTAAGCACATATTTTGCACGAAAAGTTTAGTTCCAAATTATCATAAATGTTCCGATGCATCATATTTTTTACTGATTTTAATTTTTTTTCCTTTGCCAGAATGATTATATTTTCTTTCTTCAATTGAGTTTTTTTAAAAAACTAGCAAAAACTCTAATCCCATATTTTCATATTCTCGCATGGTACCTATTGATTTGCTATCGATTTGTGCATGCTATAAACACGTTCACAAAAATCGTTACTATTCGCTTTTAGGACTGTTTTTTTTTATATTTTAGGTTTCGATTTAATAAATTTATATTTAATAATTTTTCAATTTTACAATCATTTTAATTAATTACTCAATAATAAATTTCACTAGAAATGTTTGATAATATTCCCATGAATTATGTAAGTTTATCATTGTTAATCATTGTTAATCATAAGCATTTCTGAATTTCTAAATTCTGATATTGATAAATGAAGAAACGCAAAGAAAATAATTATCTAATGATTATTCTAATTTAAGTAAGAATTTAAGTTATTATAAGTATCAGAAGAAAAAATCGTTGCTGCAATCAAAATCTATCGAAGCCATCTATCACTACTAAAAAAATCTTATTAACTAATAACGACACTAAAAAATTTTTTGATTTTTTGCTTGAATTTCAACTGAAAACTAACCAACTTCTATCGATCCACGTATGTTTAGGCTCTGAAGAAGATCTTTATGGCTATGGTAACAATTTTCCTTCTTTTCCTGCTAAATCCACCGATTCTCTGCATGCATACAGTAATATTAACGATGAAAGCACTCGTTGTGCTTCAGTTAAGCAACGAATATCGTCTTCAAGGCGTATTTCTGCAGCTGAACTCGAAAATTTAATGGTACAACAAAATCATTGCAATTCACAAGTTACATTTGGCCAAGTATATTATTACTTATTATTACTATTACTATTATTATTACTATTATTATTATTATTACTTATTATTATTATTACTATATTATTATTATTATTATTATTATTATTATTATTATTATTATTACTATTATTACTATTATTATTGCCATATTTTATAACACATTAAATGATTTTTTTTTGAATATTTTTTTTCGATTTCGATCAAATTTTTTTGCAAGTTTTTATTGAGTTTTAAATTTTTATGAATTTCACTTGGAAATTTTCTTCACTTTAGGATTCATTTGGAAATATTCGTGGTATGAAATTTAATTCGGTCGCACATATGAAGCGTCGTAAGCAACGTCAAGGCGCTCCATCACCGCAAATTGGTGTTGGATTACCAAGGACCTTCATTCCTCAATCGTCTGATTACCATCAATTGAAGAGCTTTAGTTCATCACCAGGCAATTTCTTTTTCAGTAGATTTAAAGCTAATAATAAATTATATAAATATGGCATGTTGATAAAGGGGATAGGATTGCTCATTGGGTTGTTGCTCAATTCTGAGTGCCGATGCTGAAGTTCGATTCCCTGCACGAGTAAACCTGTATAAAAATACGGGCAATGCTGACTTACCTGTATTTCTATCGCGAAAGGGCTCCCTGGAGAGTTTATGAAAAGTTCCAAAGAAAATTCTAATTTGCATCATTTTATTGATACGATTGCAGATTTACACGGTAAATCTATGGATGAAACGAACGCAATAATTTTCCATCATTCACAAAGTATTCAAACTTCTGCAGATCATGATAAAGTGACATCCGAATATTCGCGACCGTTTAGGTCGACTATTCGACCAAAAACACCTCCACCTCCGCCTCCACCTCCCGCATTCCAAAATTTTTATTCAACTGATGATGATTTATGCGTAAAAGAGCAAAGCGAATCCGATGAGCAGGGGCAAGAGCAACAGAAATTTTGTAATTCATCACCGAATTCATCAAGTTTGAACGGAAATTGTGACTCTCGAATAGCATCAGTAACTGTAACTCAAGCAGCAGCGCCGCCACCTCCTCCACCTGCGCCTCCATTATCTTCTTATATGCTTCGATCCAAATCGCAGGTTATTTCTCTTATGATGATATTTTTTTTAGAATAATTTGTCATAACAAGGATATACATAATTTTCAATACATAATTTTTTTTTCAGCCGGAAAATATTAGTAATTCAACAAAAAAAAGCTTAAATCAGGTAATTAGCGCAGAAACTCTTTCAAATGTTCGCTTAAAACCAACGCTACGACCTGACACACCAGCTGCTGCAAATGTGCCATTAGATTTTGATGCTGACCTGAGGAATGCGCTTGCAAAACGCAGAATTAAGGTAAACTGATCAGTGCTTGAAGAATAAATCTCCTCGGTTATTTGTAAGCTGATTTAGTTCTCACTTCAAATTACTATTTGGCCAAACAATACATACATTGAAATACATACAAAATATCTAAGTGGAGCGATCCACACCAGAAATAATGTACGAGAAGAAAAAAACTATTAGATCTACAAGTGCGGTACTTTTATTGTGGTTTTCAAAGCAATAATTCCTAGTACAAAATTTATTCTATCCTTTTAATAATTTAATGTCTTTTGTTTTAGGTGCTAAATGGTAAAGTCGATGCTGCAGAAAATGCTAAAAAAGTGGTTTTCTCAGTGGAAAATCAATCGGATTTCAAAACCGTTGGGTAAGAATTTTCTTTCTAATAATTGTTCTTAATCGCTCATAAAGTGAAATAAACTGAAAAGCAACAGTTTTCTTCTTTGAGATGGTCTTTTGTGGTGAAATATTCAAATGACTGGTAATTGGTACTTCAAATTGGTCTTTGAAAAATCATTTTGCACTTTAGGAGCTATGGTGGGTTAAGCTTAAGAGAATCTGTTCAAGAAACTGTTGCGAATTCAGCAGAAACTGTCAAATCACAGCATTCACCTTCTGGAATCACCAATAAAAAGGACAGTGGGTTAGCTAATCGCTGAAATTTAATAATACAATTCTTCTTCTCAATTCTTTTGAGCGATTAATTTCGATCTGCTCCAAGTGTAAAAAAAAAAAGAAAAATTAGAAATAGAAATTAATAGGATATTTTTCGATAAAAATTATTAGTTTTGCGAAAAAATTTTAGCTATGCTTCATCAAGAACTTCGTTAGAACCATCCGAATTTGGCGAAGAAACAAGTTCAACATCGACCGTAATAAGTAAATCGGAAACTGTACAGGAGGTTGCAGAAGAAAATAATATTACTCAAGTATTTATAACACCGACGAAAAATGAGAATCCCCTAAATTCGACTAATCGAGTCGCCATTATCAGTCATCAATTAGAAGAAACATATGGTGGTGGCGCGGTGACTAAAAATAAATCATCTATTCATAAATCATCATCAAATAGCGAAAATGATGCGGTAACATTTTTATAAAAAAAAAACTATTGTCTGAAATATATAAAAGCATAATTTTGTAGTGCCTGATTTTTAATTCCTCATTGTCGGTCCTTATTTTGTTCCTTTTTCCTGAGAATAAAAAAAAATGAATGGTGCAATTAATTTTCCTCTCATCTTCCTCTCATCTTGCAGTTCTCGCTTTGTCAGATTACTTATTTAGTAGTTCCAATCGGGTCGAATAGACTTAAGGATGAATAAATGAATTCTTCCCTCATTCCTTGCAATTCATGCAAATTAATTAGTTAGGCTAACGACTCACCAACTAATCACACAATTTAATATCTCAAATTAATACTTTTTTTAATGAATAGCTTTTCGCATGGATTAACGTAAATCTATCCACAATATCCACGATAATTGCTTATTGTATTTGCAATTTGTGTTAGTGAAATTTTTTCGTTTACTTTTCTTTTCCTATTATAACTAATATTTTTGCTAATTTTTCGCTATTTTTCATATTTTTTTCCTCTTTTCTTTTTCGAATAAGAATAACGTTTTGATTGAACAACTAATCGCACGTTTTCAGTTCTTTTTTTGTATGTTTTGTGGTTTTGGTACTTTTTTTTAGCGCTTTTGTTGCTTAATTTTACCCTTAATTGTTTCTAATTTTTATTTGAATAAAATTGAAATTTTTGAAATTTCTTTTTTTCCAAACAAAGATTTAAATTTACGTATTTTATATATATTTTCAATAGAAAATATTTATTCTTTTAAAATATATTATTTTTAATATATATTTTTATATATTAGTAAATAAAAATATTTCTTTAAATAGAATGCATTAATTACTAATAAAATTTGCAATATTGATTAATTGCAATTAATTAATTAATATTCCATGCTATTATTCTTCTACATGGATGACAAAATTACGGGGTAAATTACGGGGTAATATATCTGCACATATATATTTCATATAAAAACTGGCGGGTTCGATTCCTCTAATAATTGGAAACACTGGAATAATAATTAGTTACTGAAGTTGAAGTTCCACATTCTTAAATTTTTAGGCACTAATTCCTCTATTAGCACTATTATTCATATTCTTCTCTTTTTATTAAATCACTAATAATATAATATTAGATTAGTATTTATTTTTTTGCGCTTTTTTTTGCATTTTCTTTTTTTAGTTTAATTTCGAACTGTTAAAAAATGAGTCTAAACCATTTGTTGGAGCTTTTTCCTCGGATCCTCCAGATGGTATCACTTTCATTCCATTGACGGTACCTTTAAAATATCGAACCCATTGACCACTGCAATTTTTCAACTTTTTAGATTTTGAAGTTTAAACTTTAAAAACTAATGATAATCATTAAAAACGGTTTGTCAACATTTCAGTTTAAGAATTTATAATTCGAATTATTCTTCTACATATTTCTTAACAATTATCATAGGGGGGTCGTCAGGGGTTTCTTAAAGGCTAATTTGACTACCATTTGTCCACTTGCCTGAACAATTGATAGATTAAAGCAAAATTTACATTTGATTAAATGTAAATTACATATATTGATGGTGAATAAAAGCGGTATTTTCATCGGAAAAGCTCTCAAAGTTCCATCCCAAATTTCAGGTTTCCTTTGCTAGTATAATCAATAGATTTGAACTAGACCTGAATTGAATCCATTATATTAGCAATTATAATCTTATCAAATAATAATCTTGTAAATGCGAAATATTAGATCATTCCGCAGTTTTTTTTAGTTTTCAGTTAAAAAAGCTGCCTACAGGAGGTAATATATAATGAAAATCGCTGGAAAAAAATCACTGGAAAATTTTTTTTTATGAAAAATATAAATTTTCAAAGATTCTATTTTGGCTGCACTTTTCTTTTTATGGCTTCTGATTCTTTCCTTTCTCACTATTTTCCTGCTATAGATAAGCGTCTCGTCAACTCTTTCAACACTAAGCGGTACTTCTTCTGATCCGGCTGCTCGCAATATTCTTCGCAAAGCCTCGAAAACTCCACCGATTGATTACGAAGACGATGAACCGGATAGTGGTACTGGTGATTCTGACAACGATTTACGTTCCACACAGAGTAAGCCGGGCGCCTCATCTCTTCCTATTTGCCTTATTGCTTTTTTTTCTCATTTTCATTTTTTTAATAGTTTTTCATACTATTTTAAATTGTTTGGATAAGTTTTTCTACTTGAAAATCTGGAATATGCAAATTTTTCCTTCCAAAGAAGTGATTTTTTTAATGAACGAAAATTATAATAACTTAAATTTAAATATTCTAGGTTTAATGGATTTAAAAATTTCCAATTTAAATAAGAAAAATTCATTTATTAATAAATTTTTCATAATTTTAGCACTCGCCAACAATCGAGAGATTTTAAATTCGAATTTTCAAACGAAAAAAATTCGTGATTGGAATGTTGATGACGTGATCGCTTGGCTAGGCTCCCTACAACTTGCTGAACACAAAGAACGATTTCTTAGCGCTCGTATAACTGGAAAAGACCTTCTTTTGTGTAATCGCACTTTTTTTACGCGGCTTGGTGTTACACGAATCGCTCATCGACAAATTATCGAACAATCAATAAAAAATTTAATTAGTTCATCATCATAGTTTTTTTTTATTTATATATTTCTAATTTCTTTATATTATTTGTAATTAAAATAAATGAATAATTTTTTTCTACAAATTTACGGAATTCGTGGAAATAAAAAAAGATATATTTGAACTTTTTTTTTTTGATATATATTTGAATGTTTAATATGAAGTTCCATCATTTGGGTTCGATTGTTCTTTAACTTATTTTATCAAATATAGAAAAATTTTCTGTGAAATTTTCAAACATTGATTAGAAATTCAAAATAGGCAAAATTAAATTTTTAAAAAAAAAACAAAGTGATAGGAGAAATTTAGCCTAAAGTTATATATGAATTTTGTTGTTTTCTCATAGTTCTTGTAGTTTAACAATTATTTTATCTATGCAAAAATAATATTTATATTGAATAGTGAAATGAAATTTTAGCATATGAATAATTAAAAATCCTTCAGGTTTATTCTTTTCGTGGAGAATTATACCAAAGTTTTTACTTTATTTAAATTTTTTTATTAATTGGTCTATCAGTACTATCAGATTTCATATTGTGACGGTTTCATATAATTGGCTTTTCCATATTTTTTTGATTTATTTTTTATATCGACCGAAATCTGGAATTGAGCTGCTTCATCTCTATGAAATGATCTTAGATATTCCACAAATTTCAATTGAATCCGTTACTCGCAAATAATATATTTCCAGTTTCTCTGTGATATAAGTGCCTTTTTTATGCTCATCATAACTGAACATAATTATTTGTATAAATAATTTATGCAAAATTAAGGATTTTATTTTAAATATTTAAATTTGTTATCAAATAAATAAACAAATATTTTAATTAGTTTAATGCAATGATATTTGAAATATTTTTATTCGTAATGGTTAATAATACAAACGATTGCTGATCTTTTCATTTATTATTATTGATATTAATATTATTATTATTAATAATATTAATATTACTATTATTATGCCATTTCCATCATATAATTAATAATTTTTATTTAAATTAGTTGGAATTGATGAAAATAAAATCAAATAAAATTATTGTTTAAATTTATTGAAAAAACGCAAAAAAGTATCCATATTCGAGGTATATTTCAAGCTTTTGAAATGAATTTTAATTTTTCAAAATTATATTGCATTACTGATCTTTCTTGTATAATTCTCGAATGGTTACAAGGAGTGAAAAATGCTTTATATAAATATAAAAATATTTTCAATTATTTTAAAATACCATATTAATCTAGCAAAAAGAAAAATCTGTCGAGATCAGGTTTTCCATAGCATTTTCCATAGTATTAGGCATTATTATAATAATAAAATAGCGGATTATTACTTTAATCAGTGGAAATTATTAATTGTCGATATCTTATAGTAAGCAATATTCCAGAATTATAATGCTACCAGGGCAACGAATGAGTTTAAAAACACCACTTTATCCCAGTAATCTGGCTTTTATTGGTCGGTTGGAGATGGCTAAAATTAACATCTTTATTCTCATTGATTTCTAAAGGTAGAAATTACCTATATCCCCGTACCAACCATTTTTTGCCTTTACGATTCTCTGTATTTCGGTGGGAAAAGATTTTGAACGTATAGGTGGACCAGCGATATATGGACTTAGACGATGGAAAAAGGAATGGCTTCCATTACTGTCGAGGCATCAGACCGCGCCGCTTGGAAACGTCTTACCCTTGTAGCCGTTGGAGCCAGCCTAACCAATAATGGTGAGAGCTGTTAGAAAAAGAAGAAGAAGATTCTCTGTATTTAATTTTTGTGTATGTGAAATATTATTCGAAAAAAGAGCCAACATTTTTCAATAGTTTCCATGATAGAATGGAAAAGTTCTTTCATGCTTTATCTGAATAATCTCCGAATAATTCCCTTCCCTACTTAAAAACAATGGTAAAAATTTTATCATATTGCAAATTGTTGTTGCACTAAAATCTCGTCGTATCTTTGCAATATTTCAAGAGGCTTATTTATTGCATTATCATTTATCATCTATTGTTTTCATCTATTTATCTATTTTTTTCGAAACCAGCATCTTTTTTATATGATAATTATAGTAATATGGGAAGTAATATGGAAATCCAATATCATCTTTAGACAATCTTTAAAAATTTATTTATAAATTCGGTTGACGTTATTTATTTATAATAAAATCATTTATATGTGAAAGCCATACGATGCCGATAAAGACTCATTCAAATCGTAAATAAAAATTTAGCGTTCTATGCGGATATTCAAGGAATATTTAATCGAAAATTAGGAAAATCGTGAAGGATCATCGATGTTCAAACATTAATCCTCTTGAAGATTAAACCTTATGCCGTCTCGGTCATTTATTCCTTTTGTATACGCGATAAATTTAATAAAATTCTGGGAAATATCAAAATTGCTTTGCGAAATGATAGTAAGGTGATAAAAGTTTTATCATATTTGATCTCATACATACAAGAAATAAAGCCAATGTGATACGATATCTCATCCAATTTACCAAATGTTTTTTTTTTGCAAATTGTTGTAAATTATAAACAAATTTAATGAATTTTAATGAATTTCTTATATATTAATTAGACAAATACGATAATTTACTCACCATATTATGATGATAAGAATCTTTACCAGTTTCAACTGCAAATGAATAGCATAATGCTTTCAATAAGTTTTTGTCTAAAGAGAATTGCGTTTTATCACGAAAATTCCCTTTTATCAGTATTCCAAAGTCATCGAAATCATTTAAATTATCAAAAAAATATAATAAATAATAAATATAATAAATAAACATTAGAATAAATATATATATTATAATGCCATACAATATTGAAATTAGATGAACTTAATTCATTTGATTTTCATTTTTATGCACGATATTGTTTGGTTCATCGTAGTTTAATATATTCATTGGAAAGTAGAATGGCTCAGTGGGCTGTTGTTCAATTCGATGCGCCTATGATGAGGTCCTACGTAGTCTCGTAACTACTTCTATCGTCAAAAGACTCTCTGGCATATCTATTTAGTATGATAAGTCAGCGGAGTGAGTCTGATCAGTAATGATAAAAGAAAGTTATATTTTAACTGAGATGATTGGTTTTCTCGAAAACAATTTCAAATGGTATATTAAAAGATGTATGATGTAAAAATTTTTCATTTCTACTTCCATTTTTTTGAGAGATTGGCGAATGAAATATTAATACGATTAATAAAAGAACGAAATAACTTTAATCCAGTATAAATAAATGATCTAAGCAAGGTAAATAAGTAGAAATGTTTGGCTAGGTTCGTCTCGTTAGCATTATTGATAAGCATGGAAATTTTTGCTAGAATGTCACTAGACGAGATGAAAGCTAACGAAACGTCCTAACCTTCTATCAATAGAATTTAATCATTTCCCTTTTTTTTATGTTTTAAAATTTTATTTAAAATTCTGAAAAAACAAAATTTTAATGTAATTAGCTAATTAGCATCAATATAATTTTTTTTTAAGAGCACTCACTACTGGTTTGACTCGCTGTATTGACTCGTCAAAGTAGATAAATGCTAAGGCGTAGTTCCTTGAAAATGACAATTTTGGTAAATTTTAAATTTTTATTAGGTGTAATGATTTTGTTAGAATGAAATTATGACATACTACAATATGCAATATACAATAATATTTCATAATTTTATTAGAAAATTATCAGCGTTTTTCTTCATTTCGGAAAATCGTTTTTTTTTTCGCATTTCACTTCTATGCTTTTTTTTTTTTCACCATATTTTATATTGCTTAGATTCCATAGATTTTGATGGTGGAGGATAGAATGGTTCAATGGGTTATTGTTCAGTTGGGGGGCACTAATGCTGAGGTTCGATATTCCCGCAGGAATAAACCTGTATAAAAATCTGGGTAGTGCTAGGGACTCATCTGTATTTCTATCTGGCATATTTGTCGAATGCAAGCTTGACAAGCCAGTGAAGCGAATTTAACCAGTGATGATGAGGACTCCTGAAAAAAAAAGAAAATTTTAATGGCAGATTTAAACCGAAAATTTAGTCATCATTCTATCGATAATAAACTGATAATAATGTATATTTCTTTTCATAGCCAGGTGTTTTCTACTCAAAAAAATAAAAAGGCCCTTTCTATCTTTTTAATTTGTTTTGATTCAGGTGATTTTATTCAGGCAAAATTTAATCGAAATTTTCCGTTATCATTTGAAAAATACAGGAAAGATCCACATTCCGAAATCGAAACCGTAAGCTAAATCGGTGAGAAACAAATATTACCGCGAAATAATTGCATGAAATTTTTTAATTTCTTATTGCTTTTCTAGTTTATGAATAAATTTAGACGGATTTTCCTCTACTTAATTTAATTTTTAATTTTAATTTTCTAAGTAAATTTATTGAATTTTTGAAAATTTGGAAATCATTTATGAAGTAATTATTTGAATATTCTTGCTTGTTAAGTTTTCTTGAAACTACTTTCATCATTCAATCCTTTTCAATCCTTTATAAAAAAAAATTGGCCTAGTTATTTTGCTTTTTTTTTTCCTCTATTTTTTCGAATTGTGATAAATGTGAGATATTAATATAGATACAATAATATTCTAATAAGTCAATTGAACTATTATATTTTATCATACTTTTATCACACTCCATTTTTTTTTGCTATGATTTTGACGATAGTGAAATGAAATAAAATAAAAATAAAATAAAGATTATTGTAGAAAATTTTATAGGAGTAAAAATATCAAGAAATTTTGATTATATGATGAAACATTATAAAACAACTTTAAAAATTAGATTTTTTGCTTCGATTAAACATTTTATTTTTTGCATATCTTAATTTTTTAAAAGCTTTTTATTTAATTTTCAAAAATATTCATCTGTTTTAAAAGTGACTTTTCTGCTGCGATAATAAATGAAGGTAGGGAAAAATAGGATTTACTTAGAATTAATAGAAGGAAAAGTTAATTTAAAAATAGAAGAAGGAAGAATCAGGATTTGCTTAGAAATAGTAGAAGGAAAAGTTAGAAGGATTTGCTTAGAAATAGTAGAAGAAATGAGCAATAATATGCTTGTATAGCCAAAAGGGCAAAAGAAACTATAGACTCATATTGCTGCATTTTTTTTTAATGCCTTTTGATCCTTTCCATTCTCATTATTTTTAATTTTCTCCTTTAGATGAATTCCTCGTTCAATAATAAGCGGTTTCTGATCCGATTGTTCGAAATTTCTTCTCAAAAATTCGAAAATACCTTCGTTTGATTGCGAAAAAGTTGAAAATGAATTTTATTTTTTGAAAAATTTTTCATACCTAATTTATTGGAAAAGCTTTTATGCATGAAAATTTTGGACAATATGCAAGCCAAGCCTTGTGCCTCTTCAATAAACGAATTTTAAATTTTCCAAGAGATTTCTTAAGCTAAATTTGGATTTTCGAACAAATTAAGTTTGGACTCGAATGTTGACAAAGTGCTAAGCTTTTTATAGCTTTCTACTTAACAATGAATTCTTTCTTAAGGTGCATATCACCAAAAAAGTGCTTCTTTCAAGTAATTGTACCTTTTTACGTGGCTTCGTTTTACACGAATCGTTCATCGACAAATTATTAAGTAATCATTAAAAAATTTTATCACTCTATCATCAGATTTTCATTCATTTATATACAATTTATTTATAATATTTAAAAATATAATAAAAATAAAACGAAAGAAATTTTTTATAAATTTGGAATTTAAAGTACCTCTTTTTTTTATAAATTTGGAATTTAGAATTTGATTTTTATAAATTTGGAATCTGTGCATACATAAAAGTAGCTTTTTTTCTTTTTTATATGCGTTCGATTTTCATAAATTTGGAATTTATTCTTATAAAAAAAGTAATTTTTTTTCTTTTTTTCAAATATTCAAAACTTTAACATGAAACTCTCATTTAGTTTGGTTGTTATGTAGTTAAGTATATTAAAAAAATATCTATGAATTTTCTAAAAGACTATTGAAAATTTAAAAGCGGAAATTAAATTCTCCAAAAAAAAAACTATTTTTTTAAACGATACTTAAGAAATTTTATCATTTTCTTATAATTCCTTTCGTAATTTTGAATAGCGATTTTTCAACAATTGAATAATTGAGAATATTTTAATTTTATTCTTTCCTTGATGAATTAAACGAAAATTTTTACATTTTTCTTTCTTTTTTTTTAAAAAAAAATTCTTTTTAAAATTACTTTATTTATTTAATTTTCTATAAATCAATCTGTTGCCATTAATTCATAGATTATTAGCACAATCATTGATTTAGTAAGCTTTTGCGTATTTTTTACGCAATATTTCATATTTAAAAATTAAGAAAAATAATACAATATGATGTATTTTAATTAATTATGATTGATGGTATAAATTGCTGTTTGATTTTTTCATTTATTATTATAATTTCACTTCTATTTTATAATTATTAATTTTTATTATAATTATTTTATTAATTGAAATAATTTGAAATAATTTAATAAAATAAAATTATAAGAATAAAAAACAAAGTTTGTAACTTTTATAAAATAATTATTTAATTATTTTATTTAATAATTGTTTAAAATAAATAATTATTTGAGCTTTGATCTTTCAACCTTTAAAATGGATTTGAATTTTTAAATTTTCAAATTTTTCATTCAATTTGATTTATTTTTTATTAGTATTATTAATAATATTATTAATAATAGTTAAAATTTCATTCGACTTTGGCTAGAAAAAAGAGGAAAAATGATGAAAAACAAAAAAATTCGCTCTTTTCGACATACTTCAGTATTTTTCAATATATTATCTTAAATGAGTAGATTATTACTATGAATAATGCTAAATTATTAAAGATTTTCATAGAAATTCAGTCTTAGATCATCCAACCATTAAATAGAAAAAGCAAGCAATGCGTTAAGAATGCAAAACTTTCGCAAATAATTGATGTCCATTTGTTGAACGATCTTGAAATTTCATTTTTATCATTACCAGTTTTTAGTTCTGGAATTTTTCACTTGATTGCTTTTTTAATTTTTCGTTGAGGAAAAAATTCCGCTAATTTTCAAAAAGAAATTTGAATTTTGTTTTTAATTAATTCGCAACAAATTTATAACAGATTTTTGCATGCAAAGAAAATTTGAACGAAGTTAATAAATATTCGTATTGAAGAATATTATAGAAATATGCTAGGATATTTTCAATTATTTCTAGGATTATAATGTATTGGAGCTATAATTAAAGAAAAATTAGAAAAATGATTTTTAATATTTTAATAATTTTAATATGCTTATATGCTTAATTCTCTTGTAAGAGCACATTCTATCGCAGATTTGTTAGTTAGGTTCCATTAAATTCTAGAACATTACCTTTTCGCTAGAGAATCACATGTAGATAGAAAAATAAATTTTAAATTCTGTATTTTTTTAAGATTGACTAATTTGTAAACAGCCAAATATTCATGAATATTTGCATATGATTCCCTTGCGAAAAGTTTTTTAAAATATTTTATGATAATTTTATTCGTTTCATGCCATTAATCTTAAAATAAAATTAAAACCTTTTCTATAGAATTTTATTTTAATCTAAATTTGTTTATTTATTGGCTCAAAAATTTTATTTAACTCTGTCTCTTTTACTAAAATTTATTTGTCTAAAATTATATTGGATTAACGAAATAAAACAATCGAAATAAAGCATACATTCATTCGTCAAATGATTCGTCAAATATTGCAAATTCAATTTTGTATAGGTGATATTGGTGATTCAAAATATGATATTGAGAAAGTGATATGATATGGAGAAAATAAATTTATCTATTAAATTTTAAAATTAAATGAAAAATTACTTCTAGATGATGTTTGAGACCTATAAATTCAGCTCAAAATAACTGTTTTCTTAGCAAAATCATCCCTAATAATCAGTGGAGTTAGCCAAATTAAAAATGATAGAAATGATTAGAAGTTCCTATGATTGATAAGCTTATTAGATGATTTGATAAAACATGTCAAAATAATTATCATTTCAGCTATTCGCTATTATTATTTTTTGGTTCATTTTTATGTCGATTGTTTTTAAGTTTTAATAAATCTATTATCATTGCAATGATGAACTTACTGATATTGAAATTGAAAAAAAAAAAAAATTATTAGGATTTTCAAATGCAAAAATTTAACAAATAAGGTTGAAAATTTAATTTTCTGGCTTGATAAAACAATAATTTTTATAATCATTTAACCATTTAATATTTATTTTTTCAGTTATAATCGTTTTAAAGTTTCGATGAAAAATGAAATTATATGAAAAGTGAAATTATATAAGTTTTTTCCATTGCCGATCGCTGATTACTCGCTCATTTATCATTATTATATAACCAATCTTTGTGGGAAATAATTCACTGTTTCAGATAATTCTGATTGACGCGTTTTGTAATCGAATACCTCAGACTGTATATAATAAATATTATAAACTATCAATTTTAAATTTTAAATTAAACAAAATAAGATTATATTAGAATCGAAATTAAAAATTCTTAAATCTTTATGGAATTAATTGACTGAGAATTTTCGCCAAAAATTTGTATCTATTGGAATAATAGAAGAAAAAAAAAAAGAAAATTTAAAAGATTAAAAGAAGAGAAAATGATATTTCGATGAAAATAAATATAAAAATAAAAATTTATTCTTAAAAAGAAAATTGTAATAGACTAGCAATAGATGGACTTCGACGATGGAAAAAGGACTTCTAATGCTATCCCAGATGGCATCAGATCGCACGGCAGCCTAGAAATGTTTTATTCAGTGCAGCCAGTCTAATCAGTGATAGTGAGTGCTGTTAAAAGAAGAAGATAGGCCTATGAATGATGGCCTATAAGGGAAAGGGCTTTATTTTCATGAATTGGGAAACATCGCTAAATTTTTTTTTTAAAATTTCTCAAATTTTCTATTGCAGAATTTTTAAAATTTTTTTTTCATATTTCCATTTTATTTTCGTGAAAATTCGCTTATGAAAATCCTAAAATTCTAACAAAAACCTTTTTCAGACTATAATTTCTTGGAATTTTTTTTGGAATATTAGAATATTACATTGAAAATCATAAAAAATTTAAAATATATACTCATTGTAACATAAAACCTTAGTTCTCGTTTGGAAACTCGTTTTTTCCAATTTCTTCGATTCCATCACTTCGTTAAATTTTTTACTAAATACTTTCACGATGCCTGAGCGATTTCTTCATTCAGTACAATTTGCAACTTTGAAAAACGCTATAAATTTAAAATAAGCGTAAAAGAAATTTTTATGTCGAATTCAAACTTTAAACTTTTATATATTTATCATTCAACCGAGCTTTTGATTGATAAAAAGATTTATCAATATATATATATATATATATCAGGAAAAAAAAATCGTAGCAATTCCTTAGAGTAGAAATTTTCTTATTAAAATATTTTGGCCAATCTTAGTCTTTGGTTGATTATTTTTGATTATTTTCATTGCTTCTCATCAAGTTTTCATGATTATTAACCATCTTTATATTTATTTATTACAACAAAGCAGAGCGGGAAGCGCCATGTGTCTATATTAATAACAAGTAAAAAATAATTAAAATTAATGATAAAAAAATAAAATATGGTAAAATAAAGCTAATAAAGTAATGAGAAAAAGGAGGTATAAAATAGTTCGAAGTAAAAATGTTTCATTTATATATAATCGAGCGACAAAATTCGAGATTTCAGACTTCCTGCATAATGTGAATTTTTTTAAATAATATCATAAATGATTATTATTATCTAATCTTTTTTTTTAAAAAGACGCATAAACTACATCGTTCGATAGTTTATTCCAGTAATTAATAGTGCGAATAAAGAAATCATTAGTCCACAATTAAACAATTTTTCATGATAATTTACGAATTCAACGAATTTATAATAAATCAAAATCGAAATCTTCGAAATTAAAAATTTATGAAAATATATAAAAAATTATAAGCAAAATTATAAAAATTATAAATTATAAAATTATAAAAATTATAAATTCTAAATAAAATTATAATGATTTTCAATTAGATAATTGCAGTTTTAACATTTTGAAACGAATAAAGTGAAAATATGAAAAGAAAAAAAAAACGTTCGTTTATGTCCTTGGTCTTAATTCGAAGAAGATGAGATGTTCTCAACATATTTTAATTGTTCATTTAGGTCATTACCATTAAAAATTAACATACGCAAATTGATCATTTTGCGATGCATAAAATATCGAAAATTTTATTTGAAAAAGTTTCAAATAACTATTAACAAATTCAATAATTTTATTAGTTATAACGAAAAGCTATTATAGAAATGAATTCGTGAAATGCATTTGAATAAATCGTTTCGATGCTTATAAATCAAATTTAATCACTAATCTATTATTCAAATATCTATGAGATTTTGGATTTTCAACTACTTTTTCTTTTTATTGAGAATTTTAAATTTTATAGTAGTAATTGAGAAAATAAAAAATTTTTGGTTAAAGCGGTATTACTATTTGATTTAATAAGTTAAAATATTGCTTTTTTCTTTTTTTTTTTTCTTGTTAAATCAAGGACACTGACATAATTGCAAAATTGTGGGAGAATCGTTTCAAATTTGTTATGATCGGTTTTGCATCAAATCAGTACTTCACTTCTGATCTATTTTGCGGTCATTTATTCATGATCGACCGAATTTTTAAACGATTCTCAACGATTTCTTATCATAGGGTGTTAAATTTTTAAATTTTTATTATTTTAATTATTATCATTAATAAATTTCTATTATTTTATTTTTTCCATTTATACGTAAATTTTATGATTGCATTAGTTTTAAATAGTTAAATTCCCTATTTCTTATCGTTCAAATTTTTTTTGAATAGCTGTTTAATATTAGAATTTTTTTAAAACGCTTTAATCATTTTTATCTGGCTTGCTGGGCTCGAGAGATTTTGCCAGAATGTCACTTGGCGGGCGAAAGAAGTACGAATGAGTACGTACCAGTATCAACCAAGATTTTCTAAAGAGAAATCTACTCATGCCGAATCTAGAACTTCTTAATCGGTATTCTGAAATGAGAGCAACAACTCGCTGAACCATTCTATCTAATTTTGCTTTCGTAATTCGGCAAAATGGTCGCCGCAACGAAACGCGAATTGAATTCTAACTAAATGTTCAATTTAATCTTAATGGAATAAGTCGGTAAAAACCGGTAAAAACCGTTTTCAGTGATGATTTTCATGGATTTTATGAACAATCATTGAATATTTGTAAATTTAATGACTATGAAATAAAGTATTTTCTAATAATATTGAGAATTTTAGTGCGATTTTCTTAATATTAATATTAATACCAGAAATATAATCAGATAATTTATCAAAAAATTTTAAGATTCAATTTCCAAGATAATCCAAGAATTAAGAATATTTTAATTTCCCCATTAATAATAACTATTTCCCATCAATTTTATCAATTTTTACTAATATCATCAAAGATGTTTCTCAAAAAAGTCATTCTTTCTATTATTTTAAACTTATTTTAATTTATTTTAATTTATAATTATTAATTTATTTTAATTTATTATTTAAATAAATTTATTTTATATAAACTTATTTTTAAAATTTATTTATTTTAATAGTGCCACGTTTTTGATCATTTCTCGTTTTATCAATGTCATCTTTTAAAATTTTGAATGATGTTTGGCCATTTTACTTATTAAAAAATTTTTATAATATTGAATCAAAAACTTTTGTTATTATTATAATTCTTAAAAATTACAAATGATCTGTAGATGATTGCCTCGATTGTAGTTTTTTTTTTTTTTTATTATCATTATTCTCAATGATAAACTAGATTGACTGAATACAGATAGTACATTTATCATGTGCTAAGAAAAATGAGTTTTTCTATAGTGTATCATAAATTTTCAAGGTCAAAAAATTTGAGTATTTGATTTGTGAAATTCTATTGAGAAATGAATCAGACGCTTTAAAAAGTTTTGTGTCAAATTTCAAAAATAATTTGAGAACTTTGTTGATATAATAGTTTTATAAATTTGTCTCGTCGATAATCACCGAACTGGTATTTTTCTATAAACTTATAGGCAAATACCCTATATTTTGATACGACAAAGATTTAAAATCAACTGAATTCCATTTGAGCTAAGTAGACACCCTAATGAATCGCATTGAACTATTCTTTTTTCCCTTTGAAGGCATATAATGAATTCGCCGAATTCATCTAAAAAGTTTTCAATTTCGTTTTATAACATTTTTTGAAAATCATCAATATTGATAAGGGCTTATCACATGGCATAGGCATCAAGTTAACGGATTTTTGAAATTCGTTGTTTTGTTTATTCTATGGGAAATTGTTGTTTGATGTCAGAAATAAACCGTTGATCAATTGAATAGATTACAGTCAGCCACTTC